CCAACGGCTGTGGACTCTGTGGGGCGCAGATTTTGCCCCACGCCCGCGCCTCCAACCGTCCTTTTTTTCCTGGGGGTTCTCGGTCTTTCCTAGCTGCAGACAGTCTCTCAGCTGAATATCCTCTGCCTATTCGGGCTGTATGTTACCCGTTTCAGCTGCTCACCCTTATCTGCTCCAGGACAAGGCACAGGACACGTCCGTTTATACCTCCGCCATTTTCCCTCCTCTCTGGATATTTTCGAGAAGATTTTAAAGACATCTAAAACCACTAGTAAATTATCTCTTCAGAGATATAAAATTATGTGATAAATATTAAAATTATTATCCTCTCAAGGGCTACTTATTTACTGTTAAAATACTATTGTACTTTTCTGGATGGAGACTAACTTTTAAATTTCAGGCATTTAGATTTAGAACTCAATTCACAGCTTATTATGTGTAAAATGTAATTCTCTAATGTTTCTACATTGAGTCCCAAAGCTCTAGAGCAGTGATTCTCAACCTTCTGGCCCTTTAAATACAGTTCTTCATGTTGTGACCCAACCATAAAATTATTTTCGTTGCTACTTCATAACTGTAATGTTGCTACTGTTATGAATCATAATGTAAATATATGATATGCAGATATTTAGGCCACCCGTGTAAAAGGGTCATTCAACTGCCAAAGGGGTCGCGACCCACAGGTTGAGAACCACTGCTCTAGAGCATATATGCTAAATGGGAAAATTAATACCCAAATTTCACAATGTATGTCAGCACTATAAACAATTAGTACTGAAAAAAAAATGATTCCCTTTTTTGTTGTTACTCTCACCCGAGGATATTTTTCCCATGGATTTTTAGAGAGAGTGGAAGGGAGGGGGAGAAACAGAGAGAAACATTGATGTGAGAGAGACATATGAGTTGGTTGCCTCCCACACCCGCCCCAACCAGGGCCAGGGATTGAGCCTGCAACCTGCAATTGCAGTATGTGGCCTTGACTGAAATCAAACCCGAGATCCTTCAGTCCAAGGGCTGACATTCTAACCACGGAGCCAAACCGGCTAGGGCATGATTCCTTTTTTGATGATAAAATGCCATTAAACACTTAAAAAATTTGTGAAGGGCCTACTGGGTCCTAGGCTCTGAGGATGGGAAAAGGTTGGAGAAGGGGCTGGGTGAGGTTGGATGAAGATACAAGAGAGGGGAGGGGAAGTAAGGAAATTAACAAAGCACAGGGCCTGCTTTCAAAATGTGTTCATGATCTCATGAGGAATGAAAGAAAAGGTGAAGAGAAAGGACAGTGCTGTAGGTATGCTGACAATTGTGTACTGATAATAAAAATATGTACCTTCCACCGAAACCGGTTTGGCTCGGTGGATAGAGCGTCGGCCTGCGGACTGAAAGGTCCCAGGTTCGATTCCGGTCAAGGGCATGTACCTGGGTTG